ATAATCGGCGCACTCATGGATGTTTATCTGCGAGATCATTGTACTTTTGACCGCGTTGTCAATCTCTTTACGATCGTGTGCTCTCTCTCGATCTCTTTGTAGTTAACAATTTTTAACGGAAGCATGGCCTTTCCAGAACAATGTCAAGAACGCACATACAAGATGTCAAGAACGAAGTTCTTGTCAAAATAAACAGTTGAATATATAGATATAGGTTTTATCGTTATGGAGAAACGTTTCTTTCAAATTTTTGAAAAATTGTGATCGTGTCACATGTTGCTTTTTTCTTAAGTGGCGAATCCAACAATGGGAGCATCGTGTAATGACGCGGCGTTTCAAGACTTCCAGGACAAGCTAGTGAAATAGGTAGTTGAGCGGTCGCCATTATCGTTTATAGAGGAGGAGGGAACGGCCTCCGTGGCCTCCCATAATCCGAGTGCGATCTTTATCGTCAAATTCTGTAGCGGGGGCCGCATCGATGCCTCGATTGCGCAATCAAGATGGCATCGAGAAAGGCATCTCTCGCCTTCAACTCAAACTACCAACAAGTATTTCAATATCCGCTCCAATATATTCCCATCGACCCTATAAACGTGTGTGCAGTTATATTGGATTCTCTCTCTTTCTCTCTCTCTCACACACACACACACACACACGCACACGCACACTCTTTCTTCCTCTCTTTCTTTATCGACTTCTCACTCTCTTTCATCTCTTTCTCTCCGTCCTCCCGTCATTCTTTCCCTCTTGCTCATCTTTATCCAATCCACGTCATTCTCGTTTCTCTGGGGGTCTGAGGGGGTGCAATGCGCGCGTGCATGAACGGACATATTCTCACAGCAGCGAATACAAACGCGTATATGTTTGCACGAAAGTGTGCGTTCGTTTCGACTCTCGACCGAAACCGCACATTCATTCACGCGTTTTGTAATCCCTTGTAAAAGATTTTGCGGCGCCGCGCCAGGATTCTTCTTCCAAAGTGCACGTCAGGCATTTACAATGTTGTTCGGATGGTGTCATTAACGAGATGATAAACTCTGGCGCGCGTTAACTCGATGCTTACAAATATCTGACTTTTTTTCTTTTCAAGGGTAGTAATACATACACGCGTACGATATATAATATTATATAGGCTATAAGGATATCCCGCGCGGATCCATCCCGCTAGATTCCACTATACTACCACAAAGCAGAATCTTCTTCGTCTTCACCGACAACAATGACTTTATTAATTGGAACTTGTAAGAAATACCATATGTTATGAAAAATTTATTTTGCCCTATCTGCATATTTGCATATTTTGTAAAGAAAAAAATTTTTGTAAACAAAATGCATAGATTTTTGAAGAAGAATTCGTCAAGCTACGTAGTTTGCATCTTTTATTTGATATATTTTCACGATGGAAAATAACGTGGATTAAAGCGGGTGATGGGTGAGCAAGCGGCAAGAGAGAAGGAGAAGAAGGAGGAAGAGAGTGGAAGAGGGAGGAAGGAAGGAAGGAAGGAAGGAAGGAAGGAAGAAGAAAGAGCGTTGGTACGGGAAAGATAGAATTCTTCGGGAGCAAGGGGGAGCGATAGCGATACCGCCGAACGGGAAATGCAATTCGTGGTGGCGGCGGCGGCGTTGGTAGCGATGGTAGCGGTGGCGAGTCTCAGCCTCGGGTCGACAGATAGATAGAGTCAAGATTCAATTAGCTCTAGCTGTCAGCTGCATGATACTCGTCGATTCAATACACCTTGTCGCGTTCGTGTGTGCCTTGGCTTACTGCTACGTGTATGCGCATATGTGTGAGATTACGTACGCGCGCGCGCGTGTTGTGTGCTCGTGTGTGTGTGTGTGTGTGTGTGTGCGTGTGTGTGCGTGCATATGTGTGCCGCGCCCTCGTTTATACGTCTCTGCGTCACGCACGCGGAAAACCGCGCAAACCGAGCGATTCTAAAATCAAAAACTCGCTGAATCGCGACATTATTTCCTTCCTCAACGGAAGGGGTAAAATTTTATCTACTGCGATCTGTCTTTGAAGCGACTGCGTAAACTTATAAATAACATAAATGGAAACATTTTAAGAAGGAAAAGAAGAGCTGGGAGAATATACGAGGCAGGGTACCGCAGAGACATTAACAATAAGACAGACAGTAATTTTTGTTTCTTTGAAACTGAAAAATATAAGAGCTTTTAATGCGCGCGTTACGTACGTGACTCTGCGCGCGCATGTACTTTTCTTAAATTTAATAGAGTTTAATATTGTATTTAATATATGTATATTTAATTATCATTAATGATCATTTATACCTCGTATCTCCTCGACATTTGACACTTGTATAATATCACATGTCACAAATGTCACACACTGCATCTTCCACGAATCACGAGTAGTCTCGAGCAGTCTCGAGTCTCGATTAACAAAAGCTTCACTGCATATAAACTCTTCCGAGGCGTAACACGCGCTATTTATTTATCTCTCTCTCTCTCTCTCGCTCCTCCCCCGCCTACCCTCGATTGAATTAATTGAAGTGATTCGACCAGATTCCGATCCGACTCGAACGTCGCGTTTCGAATTCATGAAAGAACGCGGGGCGCGGGTAGAGGGTGAAAGGCGGTGAAAGGGGGCGGCCAGGGTGCGTGTAGATGATGTAGGTATCACTTGTCCGGGGGCCAGAGCGATACCAGCCATTTTCAATTTATTTCAAGTACCTTTTCGTGGCGGAGAAAAGAAGGGTGCCGCGCCACCACCACCCTCGCCGCCCCCGGCCCCCGGCCCCCGACCTCCGACCCCCATAGCGCGACGCGGCGCAGAGAGATACCTCTATACCTATATCATCGCCATTTCTCCACCTTATGCAGGCTTACGCCGTCACGAGCGATCTCGCGGATTCGACATGACGATATTAACGTTTCAGAGTTATATATACGAGTACGTCTCACATATACCTATACATAACTGCGATGTTCGATCGATGCAAGCGACTCGGGGACTCGCGACTCGCGAACGATCCTTAGGTCGTGTGAATCGAATTTTTAGACTAATATCTCTTTGCTCTTTTAATAAACATTTTGATAAATGCGCGCGTGCAAATGCAGCGTATCGCAACGCTGCATTTACGCTCAATGTTGAATTGCGTACGAGACCGAACTTGATTTAGAACCGATGTGATTGATAAAAAAAATGCAATCTCTCTTATTCCTACTTACGCACGCTTGCTCGGGCAAACGCTATAACCTTTTTTTTCTTCTTTTTCTCCCTTTTTTTTACTGTCGAGTTTCGCGAGTACCTATGCACGTTTCTTCTTTTATCGCGGCAAGAACCGCGGCGGATGAATAAAACGCGGAAGCCGTGGCACTCGCGGAAAATATCGAACTCCGTTGCGTGGCGCGCTGCGTTGCGAAAAGCGCCAGAGAGAAGAACGGGTGATTCGGGAGGAGGGCAATGACGGGTGGAAATGCGCAAGGAGGAGTTGTAAAAAATAACCGCAGTTAATTAGCAGCGAGGCCACTTTAGCGGGCTCGCGCCCACTGTTAGCAAGCGTGGAGAATAACTCGTGCGGACGCGAAAAACACCCTCGAACGTGAGGCAACTGAAACGCTCCCGGCAAACCAGGCTCCTTTCGCATCTGTTTATTCTTCTCTCTCACTCTCTTTCCTGACGATTCTTTGCAAAACTCTCCACCGGCATTTTTCCTATGTTGCACGCTTTTTTTTCTTAGCGTCTGCACGATTGTGGGCTGCTCCGATGCTCCATTTGCGAAGCGAAAATTTCATGTAGCAAATTGAGCCAAATGCGTTTCGGTTTCCGATGAATGACTAAATAAACATGTGCTCTCTTATGTACGTAAAAATGATATAATTAAAATAATTTTTTTTCCAAATATTTCAACTTCAATGAATCTTACTTATTGTTAGAAATCGAAATCATATTGTCCTCTTACATACGTGATACCAAAAGATAAAAATTCATATTATTTGCTAAGAATTAATCTGCGAAATACAAAATTCACGACGCGTTTCAAAAGTCAAAACGAACGTGTTGAAAGGTTCGTGTCTTCGTCTCGTCGCGCGGCCAAGATGTATGTTTCACAATTATACGCTTGCATGCTGCGTGCGTGCATGCACGTCCAGGAGGAAGTCGGCAAGTTTTTTTCTTCGAAGGGAGAGAAAGAGAGAGAGAAAGAGATGGAAAAAAGCGGGGAAGATTTCGAATCTCACCAACTGTCACGCGCACAATCGCGAAAGATAGAGAGACGATTCTCTCTCCGGTTGTAACCCCTTTTGCGGTTTCCCCCTCTTTCCTCTGGACAATGGTCTGAGTCGAGGAGAAATTGAATTTGTAACATCAGTAAACTGCACGACTTTGCTGCTCCCGTACCGCAATCAAAACCAAGTGAAGAACAGGAAGGGATTAAAGACGAGAGCGAGAGAGTGAGAGAGGGGGGAGTGAGGGAAGAAGAAGAGGAGGAGAGAGCAAGAGGTAGTGAGAGAAGTCTTTGGCATCAGGAAAAGGACGAAAAGTCTAAGCGGGCGCGAGATGAAGAGAAAGAGACTGAGAGAAGAGAGAGAAAGCGGATCGTGTTTCACGCCTGGCGGATTCTGAACCGTTTGAAACCCAGGTGGAAATAATACAACTTTGTGTTCCTTGTTAAGGATCAAAGGAAATCTACCCCCAATCTCGATGTCGAGACTCTTGGCTGGTCTCTCGCCGATTCTCCATTCGCCTCTCTTTCGCCTTCTGTCCTTTCGACATGACCGACATGAAACTTAGACAAAACGTTTGCTCATAGCATGTTTTATTTGACAACTTTCAATAATGATATGTAAAGTAATATTGATGAAAGCTTCCTCTTTCCTTTTTCTTATAGAAGCAAGAAATTTTTGTAAACTAAATGCATCGCCAAATGACAAATTGTTACGTTTGATATTATAGTCAATAACCAACACGATTCTGTAGATAAAAAAGACACGGAAAACAAAATTGCAATATTTTTATATAATAAAGTCTAACAATATTTTATGTTATCATATAATTTTTTTCATTTATTTATTTACAGCCATTTTTTATATTACAGAATCATTCTTGATCTCTTCTCTACTTGTTATTTGTATAACATTAAGTTTGTATTGTATCTATAAAATAAAATAAGATCGGATAAATACATCGTTTTAATATATACCAAGCAAGGAAATTTTGTAAATTGCCAAATACACCGTAATATTTGCGAATTATAAGCTATGTAATTTTTTCTTTTCTTTATATAGCGTCTTCTGTTGAACTGGAAAGGAAAATCATAATATTAGTCTAAATACCAAACACTAATCATAATGTACATTGAAATGTATATTATGTTTTCTAAAAGATTATAGTTATATAACTATATATTTATAATTATAATGGAAGAAAATACAAACAAATGCTTTTTATAGAATATATTGAATATTAGTATATATTGACCGTATAATTCCTTGATTATGTTCTTTCTCTTATTATAATTAATGTATATAATCTTTTGTGTGTGTGTGTGTGTGTGTCTGTATATATAAATAGTTACTTACTATAAGGATCAAAATATATAAATTCTAATTTGTCAGCCAATCTTTCTCTGACGCGCACCAATCGGTGACCACTTATAATACTTTCTGCAACGACTAAGACGTGCCTGTAATAAGAAATTAATAGCAGATATCTTTTAATCGATAACATATTATGCCTCTGATCTGAGCTTATCATTAACTTATTATTTAATATATAAATAAACTTCGTAAATTTTGGCATGCATTTCAAATAATTTCCATTAAAAACTGGCATTTTGCTTAGTGACTATAAATTTGTTATTACTTATATTTGTATATTTAAATATATGTATATATACATATTCTAACC